TACATTCTTTTAATGTTTATCTTTATTTAATTAGGTATCTCAATTAGAAAACTTTATTAATTATATCCCCTAATTGATGGTATTTTTGGAAAAAATACTTATTAATTATACCTTCAAAAACCCAAAATACTTTATACCCCCTCCATTCAATATTATAAGATATTTTAACTGAATTGCATTCTTAATAAGTTAGTTAATTTTCTTTAAGAATATACACTCTTTTCATATTTATTCTTATTTAATAAGGTGTATCAATTAAAAAACTTTATTAATTGCACCTATAATGAAGGATGTTTTTGGAAAAACCTCATTAATTGCATTTTGAAAGACTTAAAATGTTTTATATGTTTGAACATATTATATTAAAAAACTAATTTATATTTTTGAATAAAGCAAGTACTGTTTTTAAACATGATACTTCTAAGAAATGTCTTATAATATTAAATGGAGGACACTTTTGGATTGAGTGGAAGAGATTTTAAGCATCTTGAATAAAATTGAAGGTTCAAATCCGTTTCTATGTCCAGTGTGGTTTTTTGGGTTCTGCTTAGTTTCTCTGACTACAAAAATGGAGATTAATTAATAAAGTGGAAGGACAATTGAAGTATGCAAGTTGTTCTTGTCTGAATACTGACACACTTATGCTCCATTTAGTCCGCTAGAATTAAAATTGAAAGAGTGGGAGTGAAAGTGAAATTGTGAAAATGGAGCATTTGATGTATTTGGAATTCAATTTTCTAGAAACTCACCCCTATCAAAATTGATGAAATTGTCATGCTGTACCTTTATTTTTTATTAGAGAGTACATCTCAATGAGTGAGTAATTAATTGTTGTTAAATTACATATTTTTTTCTATGTTTTAATTATTTTATAGGTCTCTCTATTAAAAATATTATTAATTACACTTTAATTAAGGATATTTTATAAAATATTATTAATTGTATTTTAAAAAATTTAAAATACTTTAAAGCAGTTTGGTATGTTTGAAATGAGGAAGGTAGAAATAAAATTGATGATAAAAATAAAATTTTAACTTATTTAGTATGATGTAAATTAATTTCATATAAAAATTATTTTTTTAAAAATTGACGGACTTGATTTTCATGACAAAATGTCAGTTTGACAAAAGAATTTTCTTTTCATTTTTCACCTTTCCTCTCTCGTCTCCTTTCTCATCACTCTCTTCTCTCGTTCACGCAAGCTGCCACCCACCGCAGGCCATCTTCTCCCCCACAGCCGGTGAACGTCTCAGCACCGACGACCTCCAGCAACTAGCTCCGGCGACGTCCAACTTTGAGATAGTGACAGTGACCTCCACCCTTGTCTCGCCCTTTATCTTCGATTCGACAGCCATAGAGGAGGTCGCATTCCAACTTGCTATCCGCTCCCCTTTTCATTATTTGCTGGACTGGAAGATGCAAATTGCGAAGACAATCCAGGATATTCTTTCTTTCCTTGTTGCTGAAGGAGGATCTTGGTTTTCGATTTTCTGCCTCCTTGATTTTTGTTTCCAGATCTGCCTCTTTGATTTTTTTCCCCAAAGTTTTGATGCTCATAAGATCAATCTTACATATATTCAAATTCTTTCTTTCTTTCTTTCTTTCTTTCTTTTGTTCAGCTTTATCATTTCTCACAAGGATATTGATTTTTCGAAGACGATCCAAGCTATCGTTTTCCAATGTTGCTTTATTTTCCAGGTTTTTTTTTTTTATATCCCTTCTGTTGGTGATTTGGGATTCTGTGAATGTAGTTGTCTGATGATGGTATTCTGGTCTTTTCAATAAAAATTATATCAAGATTTTATAAACATGTCAAGCATGTTTTAATATCTCATTTTTATATTTATATTTATTTTTATTTCTATCAAAATTAATTTCAACGTATCAAGCGGGCATTATATTTTTTAACATGGTTCTTTTTAAATGCTTTACAAATGATTGGACAGAGGGATCGATTATACTTCTCTGTGATAAGGTTGACTACTGCTAACTAAATTATAACCATAGTTAATTAAAGTGAAACTATTCATAAGAGAAAAAAATGGGAATTATCTTTAACTTTAAAACTTTATTTGGTTGAAGGGAGAGGAAGATAAAGAAAAAATTTCATTAGAAAAATTTTAATAAATTTTTTTCTTATTTTATTTGGATGAAAATTCTCCCCTTATTTGGCAACCCTGTAATGGAGGGAAGAGTGGGAAAATTTTTAATTATTATTATTATTATTTTTTTGTCTTTTTCTTTTGGATTGAGGTTCCTTACTCATCCCTTAGGATGAGATCTGGACCATCCAGATAAAAAATCTGGATAGTCCACATTTAAAGTCATATTATGTTATATATTATATTTACTCAAATAAAAATATATAAAAATTATAAAATAATTTTAATAAATGTTTTATTTTTAATTTAGTTTAGATTTAATTTAATATTAAATTTTTTATAATTGATACAAATTAATTGTTGAAATTTATTCTGCACAGTTCAAAACTATGCAAAGTACATCTAAATAATAAGTATACATCAATTATAAAAATTTTAATATTAAATCAGATCCGCTAAATTAAATCTAGATCAAACTAAAAATAAAAAACTTATTAAAATTATTTTATAATTTTTATAAATTTTTATTTTAATAAATAAAATATATAATAATATATTAAATCTGAATTATTCAAATTAAAATTTAAATAGTCTAAATTTTATTAGTGTTTATTTTTAAGATGAGCATAAAAACTGGTCCCTTTTCTCCGAAACCCTTCCCGCCAAATTGAAAAAAAATGAAGTGACCCTTCTCCTCCACTCATTTTTCTTTCAATTAAACGTAGTGTGAGGAAATAGGATAAAAAGCAAAGTGTTGAAAAGTCAAAACAAGGATGCAAATTGCAAATAGAAGCTTCAAGAAAGAAAGAAATTAGCTAAGCAAAGCATGAAAGCGAAGAATTTGAATTCCACACGACATATGAATCTTCATTAATTTCGTCGGTGCTTCTCATCTTTTTTCCCCCCTCTATTGACCCCCCCTACCAAAAAAAAAGTTTTCTTCTTCCTCGCGTTTTAACTCTCTCTGAACTTTGTTCAAGTAAGGTGCGTCGTTCATTCCGTCCTCTAAATGACAAAAGAAGCAACTTCACATTGATTTAAGTCTTTTTGAATTTTGTTTTTGTTTTCCCAAAAAATAATAATAATGCAAATGCTTATTAATAAGGTCGGCCAATAGCTATATGTATAATCCACCCCTACCCATGTACACATATACACACCATAACCATAATCTGTACTATGTCCGTAGATATACTTGTCCTTGGTCCAAAAATAAATGTATAATACGTTTATATATACCAATACCATGCCATTGTCCATGATGGCCCTTGATACTTGGACGTGGATACTGTGACGGTGGATTCTTCCTTGATCAACGCGTCAAAAGCGAGAAACACAAAAAAAAAAAATATTTGTTATCTTGTTAAAATTCACTCTACACGTGCCTCTGGTGTTGATTTTAAATGTCATTTTTTCAGCATTTTATTAATGAGTGTTTCAATGGTATTCATTAAATTTTATCAATATTTAAAAATTATTAAAATATATTTTCTTTCAAAAAATCAAAACAATACTTGTCATCAAAGCACTTCTTTTATATATTGTTCCTTCAAAAAACTTGATATTTAATATTTTTTGGTATTGTATGACAAAATTTCTTACTTGGTTGATTATAATAATTATTTTTTTAAGTTGAAGATTTTGACTAAAACGTCCTTATGATTAATCCTCCCTTCTTGTTAAATTTAATGATAATACCATTTAATAAAAGGCAATTAAAAAATACGTCATACTAAAAGGAAAATTATTGTTTTACTAACCCAAAAAAAAAAAGAAAAAGAAATCACATCAAAGTTTGGCATATATTTAAAAACAGAGTGTAATAAAACATAAGATAGAATATATACCACCAACCAGTGCTGCATATACAAAATATCTGGAAGCCCAAACTGAACACCCCCTTCCAATAGACATAAGAAGTGAGAATAAAAAATTAATATCATTCTTGTACCCGATCAGGGCTTGAATTCACATATAGTGCACAAAGAATTACGCACTTTATTATGCTGAATTGTAATGTATAATTGTAACATATAAACTGGTGTGAGAAAAAAGTGTGATCCACGTGGACAGAGGTACTGACGTTGCAACGCACGCACGGCTCTTCGTGGCTGTCAATGGCCATATTTCATTATCTTCTCCTTTTTCAAGCCGACCGCACCTGCCGGAATGATATACAGATTGATCCATGAGGATTGAGGAGCAACCACCATCTCAGTTGATGATAATATTTGATTTGATTGCTCTAATGTAATCTTCGATTATAGATAATTATATTTAATATATGATTAGACACTTTAACTTGATATATTTTTAAATGGGAATTCAAAGTTTATTACTCATCATAAAACACTAGCTCCTTTTGATTAGGCCAAATTCTCATTGGTCATATCCATCATATATAAAGTGAAGCATGGAATTTGCTCAAAGAGATATACATGTTATAATCATAATTTAGATTTTAAGATTTTTTATGTTTCACCAAAGAAAAAAAGAAAATTAATTATAAGAAACTAAATGAACGCTTTTAATTCAAGTGTTTAGGAAAACAAATAAATGTGTTAAAATTTTTAGACAAACATCATTTATATTTGATATCATCTAATTTATCATCTTCTTGTGCGGATTTTTTTTAGAGGCAGGAGAGGATACGTCATACATGTCCTTGTATACAAATTGGCCGTATTTGCGTAGGAGCCTTGACGCAAAGACTTGAGGAGACTTACAATGGAGGCGTGGTCCTAGCTCCTATCTCATCCTTTTTTAAAAAAAAAAAAAATTTGGGTGGGTCACACCCGGCACGCCTCAGCCCACCAACAAGTTCTATATAACCCCCCTCCCTCTTCTTTCTTCACTGCATTGCTTCCTTCTTTTTCATCATCTTCATCTTCCTCGATTCCATCGCTCCTTCTCTCCCCCCCCCCCCACACATGAGTGTAGCAGCAAGCTCCCCGCCTGCTATTCTTCATGGATACTCAAGATCTTTCACCTTCTCACGTGGACGCCTCTCGTCCCTCTCTCGGCTTCCCTCTCGGCACAGCCCTCCTTCTTATCATCATCTTCAGCCTCAGCGGCATCTTCTCCTGCTGCTATCACTGGGATAAGCTCCGATCCCTTCGTCAGTCCTTGTCTCACTCCGATCCCCACCCCTCTCCCGCCAAACCCAATCTCCTCTCCCCCGTACGCTTCCTCACATTTTCCCTCCTTCCGATTTCTTTCCTCTCAATGTGAATTTCTGACTGTTGCTTTTGATTTTCTTTCTCATTCCAGGATTGGAGGCGAAACAGGGGAGACAGCTTGCCGGTGTTGATGCCTGGGGATGAGGTGCCCAAGTTCATCGCGATGCCTTGTCCGTGCGCGCCGTCGCGGCCGGAGAACGTTATGGTGAGCGTGGAGGAGCCGCCGCCCAAGCCGCCGCATCTGTCGGTGCCGTATTATTGAAGTGTGATTAATTCATGGATAACTAATTGCCACGTGGAATGGGTTAAGTACTGTGTAGAGGACCCTGTTCCGTTCTGTTAGTTGTACAACTCGCCGTCGTTTCTTAGCCTCGTCGTGTTCCACAAATGATAGGTAGCAGGTCAATTTGTAGTTTATGACCAATTTTTCATTTGATTCAATGTTTCTGCTCTGTATCACCATGTAACTACATATAATCGCTGCACTCCAATTTTTCTCCCTCAAGAAAAAAATCCAATTGGCTTTGCCCTTTATTCTCAGCGGAACAATACGTTTAAACTCCAGTGGTTATCTGCTGGACTTCTTATTTTTTTCCTCTCTTTTTCAAATTTGCCCAAAAAGAATAACGAAGAGTAAAGGATCCAAGTTCTAATTAATATCATTTGACGATTGTTTTAAATAATTTCTGACCATGATTATGTTTAATAGGAAAATTACAAACAGAATTGCCAATTATTGATTTTTTTTCCTCATCATGATTTGAATGCTGATATTGACAGAGGCCCCTGTGCGAGAACGTGGAGTGACCGAAGGAATTACTGTAAGAATATGCCTTTCTGGGGTCTCTGTAGTTGCTAGTTAGAGCATGTTTGGATTTTAGTGTAATATAATTGATTATAAAAATAATTACTTAAATTATTAATTTTAATTATAATTAATTATATGTTTGGATGTTATTTTTTAAATTAATTTTAATAGAATTAAAAATATTTAGATAATTTAATTAAAATTAATTTTAATTATATAAATTATTACATTGCTTTTTAAAATTAAATTATTGATAAATTTATATGTAATATTATTAAATTTATTAAATTTTGTTTAAAAAATAAAATATATTATTTAAATTACATATTGCATTAATTAAAAAATTAAATTAAATTAATGTAAAAATTTAAATTTATGTAAATAAATAATTTAATATATCTTAGTTAAAATAAATTTAATAAAATTGAAAGATTTAATTTTTAAATATCATACACCAACTTCATATAATGAATTTTTTTACATATATATTATCAATAATATTACAAAATACACAAATAAATAGAATAAATATATAACTTCACATGATAATATCATACCAATATCTTTTTCTCCCACTAATTATATGGAGTGTTCATTGTATTGTTTGCTAATTCCATCTCAATCTTGTCTCGTTTGAATCCAAGTTATTTCAAAATATCCAAGTTATTCCAAAATACCCACTCTATTCTCATAGTATCCTATTTGTTCTTGAATTGTTATTTGTTCTTGAATTGTTGTCTACCATATTTCTTTTCAATCTTCTTATTAAAGCTAGATATTATATTTAGGCATCCTATTTTGGTAAAGCTATCACCATTTTTTTTTTGTAATTTTCACGTTCGTTTCAAACATATGTTAATAAATATTTTAATATTTCTTTAGTCTCATGAAGCTTTTGATTTATTGTTATTCATTATACATTGATCTATAATAAAACTCAAATAAAGTGTAAAGATTCAATGTTATGTTTTTTCTTTAAGATTTATAAAATTATTTAAAACACACATATTGATTAAAAATATAAATTTAAATTAAATTAATTTATAATATTAATGTTTTAATCTATACAAAAGAAAAGGGAGGACTGCTGTTGGCTCTCCGATGCACAGGACAAGCCTTCAAGTCTTAATGTTTAGAGGATTCAATCACAAGCCCACAATGACAAATCACAGGGTATATTCGGTATGTTTGAAATTCTGATCAGTAATAAAAGTTCCAACACATAATTGATATTGAGAAGCAGAAAAGATGAGCTTCAATCAAAACGCCATTTGGAGCCAGATAATCGATTGTGAAAAATGGGACGCTCGGGTACTTTTTGGTTTTTACAAAAACTCAATTTCCGTACAGATAATTGATTTTTCACACAAATCCAAACAGGCACTCAGTAGTTGTGAAGTGAAAAGTTCAAGGTTGAATAGTCAGAGAGATGTGAACACGATTCAGTGTTGCAGATTTCAAATAAAAATCGTTTGGCCAGATTTTATTTTATTTTATTTTATTAATTTTAATTTTAAGAGTCAAGTTTTAATGATTAAGTCTCGAATATTTGGGGAGCCATGTCTCCTATTGGCGATGCGCGCGCAGACCCACCCCTAAGTGGAAGCAAATGCATTCATACAGCTGTAAATTACCGAATTAATTACCTCACTCATAAGATCTAAACTGGTTTATGAAATCATATCATATCGTTGATAAACTGACACATTATCATAATTAATCTTAATAAAAAATCACGAGACATTTTGTTTTTTTCATATCTCCACGTGTCTATCTCATGCATCATCAATTCAACAAGTTTATTACATCAAAAGTATAATAACTTTTTGCTATTAATTTTCCTTATTTCGGATTCGGAGTAAAATGTAAAAACTCAACACCCGTAACCTGAAAAGTAAGAATTTTGAGAAAATGGCAAATATAAAGAAGTGTGAGATCTAGTTTAATTGTTGACTTATGTTTTTTTGGGTAAGCGGTGCCTTACGTTTCTATAGAAGCATGAGTTCAAATCTTATTTTCAGTACGAGGATAAGTGTTTCTCTGTATTAAATTTCTCTTCACTATTTCTACTGTAATTGTGAACCACTTTCTTTGGGTGAAATTGATTCTAAACTACTTAAATCATATTTTAACTGAACAAATTAATTATGACTCCTTAAATAGTAACCCATAGCAGTTGTTGTAGAATATTGCAAGATTGTGCGAGGTTTGTTTTTACTGTATATGAAAAGATCACTAGACTTGCATGTACAAAGATTTGGGTATGTCTACGGCCCTCTCAGTTATCCCATCTGATGCCAAGAATAACAGTCTTTTATTTAGGAGAATAAGATGACATTGCTTTGACCATTATTAATTAAAGTGAATAATGATCGACTGAAATTTTTAACATTAGAGAGGCAATAATAAAGAGCGTAGCATAGTAGAAGACGACATCCCAAATTTCAAGTGAACATGGGAAAGAAAGAAAGAGAGTGGGAGAAACATGCAGGGCATGTTGGTAATGAAGAATGCAGGATCAGGACCACATGATGAGGCGGCATTATATTAAAGAATAGCTTGAAACAACATTGGAGCAAACAGTCGAATCACATCACGACCTAATTTTTCACTGTGGCAACTTGCAATTGGAATGTGAAGTGGAAGTAGTGTGCTTTGACTTGTCGTCTGTAGATGCCAAGTGTGGCGGAAGAGAGAGAAAGAAGCGTACCGTTCCGTGATTCTTGCCAGTACACATCACTTTTGCATCACTCATCATCAATGCTCTTTCATTTCGATATCTGCAATCATGTGGGTCCCCCGACAACTGCGTAGTTGTGCACCAACTCCCTCCATCTTCATCTTCTCTCTCCCTCATGCCCTCCCTTCTCTGCTATTCCATTATTTCACCTCTCAGTCCATTACTGATCTTCTCAATTAGTCAACTCCTCACTTCCCTGTTATGGCTTGCCTTTCGAAGGATCTAGGCTGTAGCTGACGAAACCTTGTATACGGAGGACCTCCCAGAGAAGGAACAAGAATAAAAGAAGAAGCTCTCAACGATGCTCCCCGGTGACGAATAATGGCTTCATCGCTTTCACAGTACTTATTTTAATGGAAAGTTGTGTACGGATATTGAGACGAATGTCGTGGGGCCCCCCCCCCCTCTAGCACTTGTTAGGGCGTTTATCATTTTCAAGTGCTGTCTTGTACATATCACTGTTCTTCAGTAACATGCACTTTTGTTTTCCCTCCTTTCAGATTAATCCTTTTGCTTGTTGTATCCAATGCTCTTATTCCATCCCTAATCGAATTGAATAGATTTTAATGGAACTCGAAGTAAATCAGATTAACCGAATCTCATTATATTTTCAAAACTCAAACTCAGCACTCCTTTCATTAAAAAATAAAAAATGTTAAGCATTTTAATTAAATTTTATTTTTAATAAAGTAATTATTTATCTTTAAATTAATTTTATCTTTCTATATTTATCTCTATTTAAGAGAATATTTTATTTTAAAATAAATATAATTTAATTTATTTAATAAAAATATTTTTTTAAAATAATTATTATTATACTTTAAAATATAAAAAATAATATCAAACTTTTTAATAAATGTCTTTATTTTATAAACGGAAGAGTGCTTTCAATTACATTAGTCAATTCGCCCCCCCCCAGTTCAACCAAGTGATGACTGGTTCCTACTTAGTCTCTTGAGCCTATAAATTTTTCGTATTATAATATAAAAATCTCCTGTTCTTGTTCTTGTCCTCTTGCCACCTTCTTGAATAATAATGCACAGCTACTAATTAAGGCCTATTATTTTATGATTCCTTCAACAGAAAGCATGGCTCTCATTTGATGTTCCTTTTACTATATAATTTCCATGGCGCGGGCTCAGAATCTTTACAGATCTTTGATGGATGCCCACCCTGATTTTAGAGTTCAAACTTTAGGTTACAGACCCGTACGCGGTACGTCAAGTGTTTGTTCCTAATTGGATTATTAATTAATTACTCCTCTAATCATAGGATTAGAATTTATCATCTTTCTTTATCACAACTTCAGACAAAGTACAGTACTTCTTAATTACCAAAAACGTGGTAGTTATATATTGAAACCTATATTTATTTATGCACACCCACACACTAAACTACAAACTCATCGGTTCATGATACAACGACTCATATTATCTGGATGTAAACGGAATATCCTGAATTAAAGTACAGTACTTCCTGGGGCTTCTGAATCAAATAGTATTAATTAATTAATTAATTAATTAATTAATTCGGAACCTAATCTTTTTTGCTTGACACGTCTCATATTTAAATAAATCCTGAAGAAGAAAAAAGATAAATTGATTCCCAACGAACGCACAAGCTGTTTCTACAGAATGATGTATTGCATGGGACGAAACAGTTGTTAGTTATTGATTAACTGAGAAATGTACAATCACATCTTAAATGATCCCCCTAATTATACAATTGTTATTATAATACAAATTAGGGAATCTATTTTTCGGAGGATGGCACCCATGGCCCCAGAACCAAGAAATTTGTAGACAAGGTTCAATAAAATATAAATTATTTTGAAGATTCAAAAGTCTTATTTACAATTATGTTTTTCAATGAAATTATCTATTTGCCCCTCTCATAATCAACTTCTTTTCACGTGACTCTCTTCTCTCTCCTTCTTGTCTTGTGTTGATCACAAATTGGGCTAATGGTGGTAGAAACAAGGACGTGCAAGTCTCATATCACCATTCTTTTTTCTCACCACTTTTCCTTCTCTTGCTTTGGATTTTGTATTTAATCCTATGAGAGAGAATGATTCAACCTAGAATTGTAAAGATGGTGAAGCAGGGGTGT